CACACACACACACACACACACACACACACACACACACACACACACACATACACACACACACACACACGTTTGTCTTTCTGTTTTTACAGGGACTTTGCATTGACTTCCATTTATTTTTCATTCATTTCTATAGCCTAACCCTGACCCTTACTCTAAACCTAACCATCACCAGTACATACCTAACCCATCCACAATTCACACCTTAGTGTTAAACGTAACCCCTAACCCATCAACCACACTTCTTAAAGGGCCCAGGCTTTGGGGCCCATAAGGAGCAGTTGGTCCTCACAATGTAGTATGTGTTCAAAAATGGTCCTCACAAAGCAACACAAATAAGCACACACGGTGAGCTTCAATATAACATTTAAACAGCACATAAAACGGCTGTTAGGACTAAAATTGAGAACATCTTCTTTTCTTCTTAACTTTAGAACTAAGAACATCTGAAACAGCTGAAACAACAACTGCCACAGATCTCTCATCTCTGTGTGTGTTCAGCCTCCATCTGTTCACTTCAATGCGTCATGTAAATAAAAGTATAGTGGGACCCAGAAGGACACATTCTTTCTCAAGGATACAAAATAAACAGACTGTTGGGGTGTGTGGTGGGGGTTGGGGGGGACAGAGTGAAGGAGGCAGGTCTCTGATAACTCGCTCACCAGCAGCAGGAGCTGACCCTCTGCAGTCGATCCCCCTCAGGATGAACCACACGCTGCTGGCAGTGAGACCCGGGAGCCGGCCTACCGGGGAACCTAGCAGCTGCAGAGCCAGGAGCCGAGAAAACCTGCTACATGAAGGGAGTGGGGAGGAGTACTGCTGCGCTGCAAGGTGCTTCAGGTACGTTACTTAACACAACATCAGGTGTCAGTCTGATCACAGAAGTACCTCCAGATGCAGGAAGAGAGCCAACTGCATCATGAAGGACCCCACCACCCAGCACACACACTTCTTGTCCCGCTCCCCTCAGGAAGGAGGTTAAGGAGCATTAAGTTTAAAACCACTGGACTGAAGAACAGCTTCTACCCTGAGGCTGTTAGACTCATGAATCTCTAACCAGAATAATCACTGTGAAAACTCACATCATGTTGCTGCTGATCTGTTTCATGTTGCTGCTGATCTGTATCATGTTGCTCTGTTCATGCATGCTCATCTGCTCACACAGACTCATGTTCGTGCTGTTGTTCAGCGTATTTTTTTAATGCTTTTAGTGCTTAGTGTATATTTAGTTGATGTTTTTCTTAGTTCATATTTTAGATGTTATAACTGTTTTTCTTTGACATTTTATTGGTGGATGTAACTGGGACCCTGGGTGAACATTGGGGAGTGGTGACGCAGAGGCTAGAGAAGTGGGCCTGTGATCGGAAGATCGCCGGTTCAAGCCCCGGCCCCGACAACATAAAAAAAAAATTGTGGGTGGGGTAGATGAAGCACCCACACTTGCCCCCACCCTCATTCGCCCCACTCTGAGCCCATGAGCAAGGCCCTTAACCCCCCATCTGCTCCCTAAACAGGTCTCGCTTGAAAATGAGTTCTCGTGGCTCAATGAGACTACCTGGATAAATAAAGCGTAAATGAATTAAAAAAAAAAATCTTGTTCCACCACATGTACCACATGTGGTGTGTATGACCAATAAAGCTCTCTGACAACTGTCTGTCTGATCACAGTTGTAGAATTGTCTGTGACAGACAGTTCTACAACTGAGATCAGACAGACAGATGTACACCTGGATCAGACAGTGTATGATCCAGGTGTACATCTGTCTGATATCTGGTGTACCACTCTCTGTCTTATATCAGATTCTATGACGGGGCCAACAAAATATTAGAGAGTGAATTGTGTCTTTGTGACAGACTGCTGTCAGCAAACAGAACCGTACGTTTGAAAATTGTTGGATATTGGACAGAAAGTGACTGAAAAGGAGGCAAAGTAAACCTGTCTGTCTTATATCAGGTGTACACCTGTCTGTCCAGCTCGAGGTGAACTGATTACTTGGTTCAACACATGACACCATTTGTCACATTTTTCTTTGGAAAAAACAGTTGTGCAAAAATTTTAAACTAACTTTATTTTTTTATAACTAGCTTCTAGGAAAAAAAACCTCCTCTTAACAATTTAAATAAAATAATTAATAGTTTTCTCAATGATGGGGTGGTCTGTTTTTATGTATGAATTGAACAAAATAGAATAGAATATACTTTATTATCCCCTTGGGGAAATTTATCATGAACTCAGTGGTGTATATTGCATAGTAGCAGCTGCCCAAACAGACAACAAATACACATACAAGTCATACAAACAGCTAAAAAAAGTGTGTGTATGGTGGTGGCCATTTTGAAATTTGTCGTGGGAATCCAATTTTTGACGGGGACCTTTCTTACGTCTAGATGCAGATTAATTCAACCTTTATTTATACAGGTTTGTCACATTGAGTCGCAAGGACTCATTTACAAGAGAGACCTGTTTAGATGGACAGATGGAGGGTATTTCCAGTTCCCCTCAGTTCTATGATGGAGAATAAAAAATATGAGAGCAAATTGTGTCTTTGTGACAGACTGCTGTCAGCAAACAGAACCGTACCTTTGAAAATTGTTGGATATTGGACAGAAAGTCAAAAAGAAAGAAAAAGGAGTCAAAGTAAAAAGTAAAAAACCCTTGCTGTGAACCAGTCTGAAGAAGTCTTGATCTGGACCTGTTTAAAATGTTACTAGAAAGTGTTTGTGTCCTCTGTCTAGCAGACACAGTGGCTCTGAGAGGCAGCTGACCTGTCACTTCAGCAGCACGGTCAAACGGCGCCAGGCCCTGCGTGGTCCAGCCTACATGTTCTCTGCTCCCTCTGTCAGCCTGTCAGAGGTCGAGCAGCGCTTCCTGGAGGCAGCTGAATATGGCAACATACCCGAAGTACGTCGCATGCTGCTCCAGGAGCCCAACCTAAACGTCAATGCCGTGGACTACATGGGACAGAATGCACTGCAGCTGGCCGTGGGCAATGAACATCTGGAGGTGACGGAGCTGCTGCTGGGGAGGGCAGATCTCGCCCGAGTGGGTGATGCCCTCCTTTTAGCCATTAGTAGGTGTTTATTAGTATATGTAGACATAAAGTATATAAAAAAAAACATTGTTTAACAGATCTTTATGATTAAATATCTGACAAACAGGTGTTGCTGTACTCTAGACAACTCAAACCCTTATGTAACACTTACTTACAGTATCTATGACAGAAATATTCAGGTTGTGGTCTGACATTACATTGCAGTAAGCTGAAGTGAGAACATGTCCTACTGGATGCTGCACTGTTAGACAGGGTGTTAGCAAGTGTTCTGTGTTGGTCTTTTAGGTAAAGGCTATGTTCGGATCACCGAAGCTCTGCTAAGTCACATCTCATTTTGTGACCCGCATCGTCTGACAGCGAGTCCGGGCCAAGTCGACATGATGGATGACTTCTATGCTTATGATGAAGATGGAACAAGGTAGAACTGCTATCTAATCCTAACTGATCACGATGTGACCTTTGACATTAATACAATGAAACTTCTACAGTGGTATAGATTGCTACTGTCTAATGTACATGAATCTATTATCACACACATTAAACTTCTATTAAAATGGCAAATTATACACTTAAGTTATTTTTTTTTCACCAGCTTTTATATTAGCAGTTTAATAGGTGTTTAAATCCTTAGATTTGTGCTAAAGTAAGATTCACTTCACATTGTTGTACCCCATTTTTCTCTGTTCACTTCTTGTGTTTTACAAGATCTGCAGCTTTTGTCCAAACTACAGAATTCACTCAGATATGTATTAATTCAATTCAATTCAAAAATACCTTATTAATCCCAAAGGGAAATTAAATGTTGTTGTAACTCGTTATCTTCGTTTCATTGAGATGTTAGATGCTGATGTTAAATGCTGATGGCTGTAGGCAGGAAGGATCCCTTGTAAAGGTCTGTCACACAGCAGATCCAAAGAAAGTGACCGCAGATGCCATCCAATCTGTCCACCCAGACTTGGCTGGCCTCTCGGTTCCCCCAGACTGCAGGACTGCCCAATGCTGGGCAGAACTCCTCCCATCCAGAATGATGACCACTCCTCCCAGCAGCCTGCCAAGCTCCTTGTCGCTGCAGACAGACAGCTGCAGGTGTTGGGGGACGATCTCGGCCCTTCTGCTGTCACGAGCCACATTTCCTACCAATTCCGGGATCTCAGTGGTCAGGCACTCAAGCACAGCTGGCAAGGAGATGGGAATGCATCCATGGAGCCTCCTCTGCAACTCATATGTTATTTGGGGATGTAGCTGAGCTATTATTTGAGCTTTTGAGATGTTAATCAGCTGTTCCTGGTTGTAAAAAATACACCTTGTTGTCATGGATACCCATCATAACAAAAGTCCAAAATTAAAAATGTTTCAGTAAAAAATCCTTCCAGCTGCACAACATCTGATACCAGAGGAAACAATCATCCAAAAAATGTGATTTACATCCAAAAAAAGAGGAATTAAAGTTTCCACAAGCAAAATCTCAGAATGAAAGTAACAGAGCTACTCCAATATGCAGCCACCCCGAGCAGCGCGATTCTACAACATATATATTATACATAATATTATAACTTAAGCTCTTTACCTACTTCACATATGGGGAGAAATATTCTTGGCAGAAACATGGGTGTGCTATGGGGTCTCCAGTTTCTTCTATTGTTGCCAACCTGTACATGGAGGAGGTAGAAAAGAGAGCCTTGACGTCCTTTTCAGGGACACCACCAAGTCATTGGTTCAGGTATGTTGACGACACCTGGGTTAAAATTAAATCTCAGGAAGTCCAACATTTTACTGACCACATCAACTCTGTGGATAAATACATCAAGTTCACAC